TAATTCGATCGGAGATTCCGTATGAGCGTTCTTTGCTCTGACGTAATCGTTCAGAACAATGTACGTACGAAAAGTAGATCAGAAACGCAAAAAATCTACGCTCCCTCGAGTTCGCCTTGCATGCGTAGATTTCTGTTATGCGCCTACTCCTTGTTCCATTAATCTTTTCAGGAATACCGACACATACGTGCGCAATGTTCTGCCGTAGATTTTGAGGTTATGTCTACGTGGATAATTTATTGCCCGCGTGGTATTTACACGGACGTTTTACATCTAAACAATGTAAGCCATGTGAAATATTATAGCACAGTGCGAGAAGAAAAATAAATGATTGCTCTAAATTAGTTTAACTTATAAAACAGCTCACGTATTCTGGATTTCGATGTTAATTATGAAGATATTTAATATTAAGAATTGGAAAGTTGATACATGTACATGCAGGTAACAGAGATGTTATCAGTTCAATTCACCTGTAGTTTCTCAGATGAGAGAGTGTTCTTTAATTCGTGATTACAATAAACACAATGTATATAGTATGTTTTTTTTTTTATTTTACTTTCTTATTGGTGTGAAATCAAGTTCGCCAAATCCACTATTGATTTTTCGTAACATCGTAAAATATTAAAATTGTGTCGTTACGTTAAAACCAATTAATTTCAACCATTTTTAATAGGTTATGTTAGATTAAATTAGATATAGAAACTCTACGCATATTTAAAATATCCGTGTAGTGATGTGAAAGGTATACATGCTGTTAATATACAAATGTTATCATTCAAGTTTGTAAGTTAATACAAACAAAATATAACGATAAAACTTATGAAATATAAGAGAAAGACGAGCCATTCCGTAACAGTTCGTATAGATTATTATTTATTATCTATACATAAATGACGCATACATTGGTATTGCCTACTCGCACTGTAGACTATTGTATTTTATGCATAAACACGCAACCATGCGTGTCCATTTTTCTTTTTCAATCGAAACATCGTCGACGAGGATATAACGAACATTACCATGAGTAAATATTCACCATCAAATTCCACAACAAGGAAAAGAGAAATCTTGTTATATCATTGACAGATGTTGTATTTATGTCACCTTAAAATTAAGTCAGTTTCTTCTGACTTTAATGTATTCATCCTTGAAGAGGTTATTCATTCACAGAAGGCTTCTAGCTTCGAGAATCGCGTTTTTTGCGGATTTATTGCCGACATATCTTAAATATCTGCGTCATCAGGCGTCATCAGGCAAAGGAGCAATTTGGCATTCCTAATACCGAATATCAAGTTGCTCCTCTCTCTGATGAAGCAAACTAACATATACACGAAACTTCGGAAACGGGACACCTATTGTGGAACTGTTCGGAAAGATTTCCGATCGGAATTGTTCAATTACTTTTTAGAAAATATAATAGAAATTTATAATTGAATAAAAACTACTCGAAAAGCTTGTCGATTCTGATCGGAAATGAACGTCTTAGAGTCAGGAGAAACTGACTCAATTTCAAGGCAACTTAAGTGGAGATTCACGAAACGTCGGAAACAAATCCGCACGAAACGGGACCTCAACCCGGAAGCACTCCGAGAATAATAAGCCTCTTCTGGAATAAATTTCTTCGAGTCAGAAAAGAGCAAATTTAATTTTCGAGTGACAGAAATTGAAATTTACGAAACATCGGGAGCAAATCCGCAAGAAACGCGGTGCCCCAAGCCGGAAGTCGAAGCCGACGGTTTCTCCACGCGGCAGAGGCCTCAGATGTCAGCGTGAAAAAGGTGCAATTAGGTACAAAGGTACCACAGGTCACACGCGGCGAAGGGAACTGGGCCAAATTCGGAGCTCGCGGAAAAATGCAGCCAAACGAGTTAAGCAATTCCGTCCCGCCGGCAAAGCTTCTTCCGTATTGACTCGATTTTTTTCTTCTCCGTTACCTCGTTCGCCATCCATCTCCTTCGTGTTCTCAAATCGGCCTCAAAGATCCGTCGTAAGAAGCTCTCTCTCGTGCGGTAATTGCCCCGTCGAAGAATTCTCCGCATCATTGGGCGTCGTCGTCGGCGCGAAGCTCGGGAATGCTCGTCGAAATACCGCCGAGTGAAATCGTGGCTCTGGGTGAATTCGATCATCGTATACCCGAGATCGGGGTGGGACGTCCCACCTCTTCGGGCTTGCACGATTTCGTCCTGCGCGTCCGAATCTCCCCTTGGAAGTAGGAAGAGAAGAAGACGAAGAATCGATATGCGCGCCAGCTCGACGTCCTGAGGCGCCGATGGCGGGAACGAATGGACGAATGAACGAACGTGGCGAGCGAGGAAGGCGGAAAGGAACGGATTGAGGGACGGACAGACGGATGGCCGGGTAACCCAGATCGGGTCAGTCGAGTCGATCCTACGGAGACCGGCTGCCAGTACGGTGTCGGACGTCGTGCACGAGTCCGACTTCCCGGCCGTTCGAAACGCACGCGCTCCGCCGACCGACCGACCGGCGTATTCTCAATCTTTCTCTTTCTATCATTTTCTTTCTTGTTCACCCTCGATCGGGAGAGCCTTCTTCTCGGTTTCGCAGGAGCCGGCCGGGAGCGTCGATCGCCCTCGTAGTCCGGGCCGGGTGTTGATGTCAGCGACGCACCGTGAAAGTGAGTATCACGTCGCGGATTCGCGAGAGAGACGCGCGAGATTCGCGCCGGCTAAAGAATGAAGGAATGTAATTGTCCGTGGCGCGTAACGCGCGGGGGGAGAAAAAGGGGGACGCTTTGTCGGAGTTAGAATGTATCGGTGAAAGGTACCCGGTCATTAATCGCACGTGGCCGTGTTCACGATTGAATCTACGCACGTTTCTCCGTGTGAGTAGCTCGAGAGACCGAGGCCGGGTTGTCAGCTTTTATTTCGTACGCCAAGCTCACCCGGTTCTTCGTCGGAACGACGAGTTTCTTCTCCACGTCGGGGCTAGTCGGGTATAAAGTAAGGAGTGCGAAGCTCGCGCGGGTAAGTCGGCGAATTGCCGGGGAGGAAATTCAATCGGGTTGTGAGGCATCGGAAGGCATCTATCGGCGGGATCTCCCTTCGCGTACAGTTCACTCACGACGGAAGAATCAGCTGACTGTTCGAGCCAGAGGAAGGACATGCAAGACTGATCTAGCATAACCGCGTTTCCCCGTGCGCGTGTGTAGTGCACCATTATTATCAAGTATCGCACTGAATAATTCGTGCAATAGTACTTTCTCGTATCCTAAGAGTGCCGTTATATAAGCGGCGGTAGTTCAAGACGGTGGAAGGCGGAGTAGCTGAATAATTACTGAAGTTTGTTCAAAGGCGCGAACTTACGTACCCGGCGTTGCTCCTCACGGCCGAAGGTTGTTTCTCGCCATCCGTCGTCTAAGTGGCAGCAGACGAGAATCCCTCAATCCTGCGTTGAAATATCCTTTGATAGTTTGGTATCAGAGTATCAGTGACGAAGGACGGGGGTGACGGATACTGTGAATATTCCAACGCGAAAGCTTCGAGGAGTAGTTCGACCGAGGGTTGACGGATATGCTTGTCGGCTTTATCGAGAGGAAAATGTTGATATTTGTAACTATGATCGCTTGAGTAAAAGAATTGTAGTCAGGGGGATTTTTCTAAAAAGAAATATTTTTCTAAAAAGCGTTACGCTGTAGTGTTAATAGTGATGATCTTAAATGCATATTGCCGTAACTATTTTTTGAATTAAAACTACATACAGAAAAATGTATGTTACATTCAAATAAATGTCACACTTGTGTTTTAAGTGTTTCGTGAGTTTATATATCCGCAAAGATGTCACAAGTTCATATGATAAGCATCATATTTATTCAAAATATATTCTGAATGTGAAGTCTGAAGTTTTTTAGTACGTCAATCAAGAATATTAAATAAAAACGAACTTCAGTTTGTTTATTCTAATTAATTCGAACTTAACTTTTCTTCGACGAAGTCTGTAATATTCTTTAAGAAAAGAAAAAGAAATAAATTCTTATTTTGGATATATGATAATGAGTTTCTCTGAAAGAAATGTCCGAGGTATTGGAACATTCTGGGTCGTCTCTAGAATGTCTTTTGAACACTTATGCTATATGATTAATTGATGCATAATTATTGCATTAATAAGAAAAATAAAAATAATATTTTCGTACTTATAATATTATAAACATATACATGTCTCAACTTCGTTTCGAATTAACATTTATTATTTAGGTAATGAAATAATTGTATAAAAATGTAATTTTGTTCGATGAATACTAAATTTATGAATGATGCGCCACTGAAAATACGGCTACTATATATTAATAAGTAATACATCTTTAAAGGAAAGAAAATAAATCGCTTTTGTTAACAGTAGGATGATATCTTCCTTTGTGCACGAAAGTATCTGAAATCGATAATGAGTATGATTTTAGTGAGATTTTTCGCAGTGTTGACGGATATGAAAACAACTTTAACACATTGGCGGAGGTTTTCAGCTAAATATTTTTTTAAATTTCGCAAAAAATTGGCTAAAAGTTTGCTAAAATTTTACACTTTTGTTTGAAAAACAAGATATCTCACTCCCAGCAGCTAATACGTATTTATGTGACAACGAGATTCCTCGTTTCCTGCCACCTACGTGTTAAATCGTGCACCGAAAGACAAAAAGTGCTACATTCAAGTAAATATTTGCTAATGAATATTGGAAGAATCCTTTTACTCGGATGAAATGAATATTATTTGAATGTAGCACACCGAAAGAAAACAAAGTACTCAAGTAGTATTTACTTGATCCCCGAGAAAAGTAATTACTCCGACACTCCTCAGCGAATATTGATTTGAATGTAGCACTTTAATCCACCGGTGTGTCAAATCAAAAGTCAATCCGCTTCTCCCGTCTAATTTCAGAAAACGAGACGCACAGGAAACCGCAGGTCGCGATGCAGTGCCGCTCGCGCGGCAACCGAAGCTAGCCGACAGTCGAGCGAGCGCCTGGTGCCTCTCTCATTAGGTCGGACAATGGCGAGAGGGAGGGCTGCCACGCTATTGCTGATCGCGATCTTGGCTGTTGCATGCGTTCGTAGTGCCGCGGGGCTCAAGGTCCAGGCGGAACCTGCGACCTTGAACGAGACCGCGCGCCACGATGACGACGTCGTCGAGGAAAACGAGCTGCCGTTCGCCGGCGAAAACCGAGCCGATCGATTGGCGAGCGAGCACCCTCACAAGATGCACGGCAAACCGAGCAAGTTCGACGTGGAGTTCCAAGCGGACGACAAAGCGGACTATCAGATCGAGCCGACCAGGGCGGACAACGCCACCACGGTCGAGGCGAATTCGACGACGACGATGACGACGATGACGACGAGGGCGACGACGGTGAATTATCCGTCGAATTCGACGCGATGCAAGGGTTCACGGATTTTCGCTTGCCTCCGGAGGGATTTCTTGAACTTTCTCGACCGGATCTCGCGGGTCGACACGTACAACGTCACGGAGTCCGTGAAGATAGTGAAGGATCCCCGAACGAACGTGACGTGCGAGCATCGGAGGAGCGACGGCCAGGAGGCGAACTTCCTCGACAAGGTGCACCGCTACGCCCGGACGCACGTGATGAAGATACAGCTGAACAAGGATCTCAGCCTCGCCGGGAAAGCCAGAACATTCTTCGGTTGTGAGTTTCCTAGCAAAACCCGCTTGCTACTGGTTCTTCTCGCGTGTGTACCAGTGCCGTTACTTTTGTCGCGACCGGTGGATTTTCTCAAATCGTCTCGCCGGACGCGATCCGCGAGCCGGTCGCGTGATCTCTGATTGATGATGCGGTGCGAGAGTAAACGGGAGTAACGAAGGCTTCGCTACGAAAAAGGGGTAAACTGAGCATGGTCTGATTGTACGACCTCGCTTCTTCGTTTCTTCATTTTCCATCTTGCTTTCGAAAGAAAAACATCTTTCCACGCCGTTCTTATATTCCACAGGAATGCGAGATTTTATATTGTTGGAAGGATCTTTATATATTATTAGGGATATTATTGAGAACTCCCTTTATATTCCTTAGAAATTGAACCGCGTGGGCATCTCACCGCAAGATAGTTTTATGTTCAACGTCGCTTCTAGCCGGTAATGTAACGCTCACTTTTCTTAGTGGTTAGACAATGGCTAAATAAATCAACTGCTGGTTAAATGAAGGAAACGACGGGATGAAAAATCATAACTAGGGTGGTAATGTAATTTTCATTTCTATTTCTTAAGATATTTGTTTTCATATTTTTTTTATTTTTCTTAAAACTTTAGATATTTGTAGAACAACGTTAACTTTGATTTGTTATCTCATCTTTAAGTACTAGTCGCGGGTATATAATAACTGTGTTATGTATTTTAGAATGGAGATAACGTCATCTGTGCTCTATCATGTTTGATATGTAAGATACGTAAGATATGGTTAGACAATGGCTAAATCATAAAATTGATTCTACAATTTAATGAATAACCAGCAGCGAACTATACTGAAAAAAGTAATACTGTTCAAGTAATATTATATTTATTCGATCCAAGTAAAATGATTATTTTAAAATTCCTCGGCAAATATTACTAGAAGCAAAAATATAATTGATAATATACAATATGACATTCCCTTCGTACAAATAGACATTTACTTGTATACGTTAAAACAGTTGCGACAAGTATTAAATTCATAATATTGGGAGTACCAAAATTTATTTTTAATAACTATTTATTGGACAGAGAGATCTAAGTTTAGAATTACTAGGTTTTTTTAACTGAAAAGAAAAATTACGTAATTCTAGTAAATACTCTTTTAAATTTAGAATCATTTAACGCTTACACCTAGTAATTCATTTACAAATTAAGCTATTACTGCGTTCAAGTAATTTACTACAAATTATTAATATTTACATAAGTTGATAAAAATATTACTTGATTTAAGAGGCTGAAAACAGATAATTACGTTTACTTAATTCTAGCATTTTTGTGTATAGTAATAAGCTGGAAAATTTAATCTACCATGTATTGGCTCATAGCTTTTTACTGAAGCCGACTTGACACATTTTTATTCGGGTTATTAAGGATCCTTCCTTCAGGAAGGAAGAAAATTACATAGAGAGTCGTTATAGTTTTGCTATACGCCTTTTTCGTGGTGAGCATATATCGANTATATATATATATATATATCTTTCGTTTAATTATCTCATAAGCGACAAACTCGGTGCGCAATCCGGCGTGAACGAGATCGGGGTGCGAGAGGGAGCTCTAACTCCATGAATTGGCTTTTTGGCGGTAAATCGAGTAACGAGGGCTGGTTCGTTGCTAATTGGCAAAAGCGCGGGCTAAACTAAATTTCGCGCTCATGCGGCGAAATTAATTGCGATTACGGTGGAGAGAACCCGTCCCCCTTATTTTTCTTTATCCACACACAAAAATGGGATGTTTCAGCAAACGCGTGGCACGTCGGAGAGAGAGGGAGAGAGAGAGAAATAGTGAGAGAGAGAGAGAGAGAGAGAGAGAGAGAGAAAGAGAGAGAGAGGGAGAGAGGTTGGCTGCAGCATGGCTTTCAGGACTAACCGCAGGGCTTTAACTGGCTGGTACTTTTGCTTTCAGCCATCTTTCAGGGAAAGAGTACCTTTTTAACAGGATTCGGGCTTGGTTTTCTAGCGTTCGGCTTGAAGAAGCTGCTGTTGCCGCTGTTCTTCGGCATGCAGATCATCAAGAGCGTGTTGCTCGCCCTCTTCTTACCGAGCATCATCGGCAGTATCGGTAATATCGTCGGGAAAGGTACGTTCAACTTCCGATTGCGCGAACGCACGCACCGTCTCGCTCTCGACGATTTCTCCGTTCTCCTTCGAGAGACGTGACCGAGCGCGCTCGTTTACCCGCTAATTTCGAGAGTGTTTCTCCCGAACGCAGGCGCTAACGTGCACTAACGCAGCCGCGCAAATTGCAGGTGTCTCCTCGTTCGCGCAATCCTCGCACGCGCCGGTGCCCGAGGAGAATTTTGAGTTCAAGGACAATTCCGACCTGTACAACGACGACTATCTGACGCGGCAGCCGGTGGGCACACTGCCGGCCTCCGCCATGTACGACGAGAGCATGATGCAAACGCAGAAGAGCCCGGATATCGCGTCCCGCTACGCCTTCGTCGACTCCAGAATATCCCACGCGAACGCGCTCTCCGATCGTTATTACACGCGACACGTGGCCTCACACGGACTCTCCAAGAAGCAGGACTTCAAGGTGAGCCCGCCGATCGCGGAATCGGTTCTTTGCCCTTTCCGATCTCGCTACGAACTCGAACGCGCGAATCGAACTGCCTCCGCGCGTTCTTCATGTTGAAATCCGAAGGGGGGCGGGAATCTTGATATTCACGTCGAAATCGTGTTTAATGGTCTTTTAATGTCATATGTGAAGGTGACTAGTTATTTATAACATGCCGAAAGCAGCATAGTTAGTTTCATATACGTTCTTTAGTAGGAACTCGTGTAGGAATCGTGTACAATCTGCCAGTACAGGATACTGGCACGATACCGGGCCGATACCGAAAAGCAGATGTCGTGTTTTGATATTGGCCCAGTATTGACTCGGATAACGCACAATATTGATAAAATATTTTTAAAATACAGACGTTAAGTATTTTGTAAATATTCAAATGTCCGGGAAATTCAGCTATAAGCGAGATTATAACTGTTCTAAAAATTATGAATGTTTCTGATAAATAATTACGGTGCTGATTTTCAGTACTGTCACGATATCTGTTTCTATCATTCCAGTATTAAACCAGTAGTGGTATCAAGTACTGTATACTACAAATCGATACCAATATCTCGCCGATAGTAAATTCTTTGGATATGTAGTACGATTATGAAACGTTATATACATTTAAACGTATATGAAACTAACATGTGTTATTTGGGATTTTTATAGCCATGTGCAGGGTGAGGCAATAGGTATATACAAAGTGAGGCAATAATTACTACTAGCTTGAATATCTCCGAGAAATAAAAATAGTTTATTAACTCTTTCACTGTCACACTACTTTCTTCACGTGGTCTTAAAATTTTATAAACAGAAGGTTCTCGAAAATTAATGAAAGTTTACACAGGGGAACTTTTGATGATGCCGATGACAAATTCCAAGTCAAATTAAAAAAATTTTTATCATAAGCCAAAAATGGCAGTTAATACAACAAATTTTGATTGAAGTTTGAAGTTAATTTGCAATAAATGTAGAGGTTTTTTAAATTACCTAAATATTATGTTTAATTCATTATTATTATTGAAACTTTAATATAAAATATTTCATGACGAGAATATTCGAAATTTCGACAAATTCTTATTTTTCTGGTAGTTATTTCTTTTT